TGAGACTTGTCTTGCCCCTCGTTCAGGAAGACTGAGGCAAAGACCTCAGTGAGGAGTTCAGCCTTGTCCCCCCTGTCTGTCACCAATTGCTTTTGACCGTTCAGTAGTGGTCCTATACTGCCCTGGGCCTTCCTTTTACTCCCTATATATCTGAAAAACAATATTTTGTTATCCTTAACTTGGGATGCCATCCTCCGCTCCATGGTAGCTTTGGCCTTTCTAACTGTCTCCCTACAACTGCGAGCTGAGGAGGCATACTCCTCTTTAGTAATTTCTCTGTTTCCACTGCTTATATGCCCCCCTCTTTGCCCTTAGGCTGCTCTGGATTTCTCTGGTCAGCCAAGGAAGCCTCTTGGCCCCTTTCCCGCTTTTTTCCTGCATTGGGATCGTCTTCCTCTGTGCCCGAAGGATCGTTTCCTTAAGGCACAGCCACCCTTCCTGGGCTCCCATCTCGCCAAATCTCCTACTCTGCAGTGCATCATTGACTAAACGCCTGAGCTCGCTGAAGTCAGCCTTCCTAAAGTCTAGCACTTCCACCCTACTAGTTACCTTTCCCATGTACAGCCCTGAGCACAGCCTGGGACCAACGTAGAAGCTGGGCTGCAGCATCCCACGTCCTCCGATTCAACTGCCTCTTTCTGTGTCCTCCCCGCCCTTGCCTCTGCCCCTGTCTTGCCACTCCAGCCAGGCCCCTATAATCCTCTTAGAGCTTTGCTTCCTCTTGGCATCACATGTGCACACACTGAGCAAACAGGATCCACAGGCAACAACAAGAAACCCAGGGAGTGCTTCATGCTGGGACTTGTTGCCTGGCCCTGCCCTACTCGGCCTGGCCCAGTCCTGGGGGCTGTTATTAGCGTTCACCATGTCCCAGACTCATTGCAGAGTCTGGGACATGGTGGGATTATTGTTGGGTGGTTTGCATGGATTTAACTGAAAGCAGGGCTGGGTCTTGCAGCAGGTGTCCCAGGCAAGGACTGGAGCATGCCTGGCTCTAGAAACCCCTGCACAACTTCTGAGCTCCTTGCAGGTCTGCTCCCACTATAGCAGCCCTGAGGCTGCTCTCACTCGTGCTGGGGATGAATTGGTCCCTACGTGTCTTTGGGCTGTGCAAAGATGGCACGTGGTCTGCACTGAGCAGAGCTCTGATGAAGCAGGGCATCTGGGCCATAGCTGGGCAAGGCATTTGTACCCTTTGCTGTCACCTGCAGAATGAATACTGATGAATAGCCTCTATTCTGCACTGGGGAGGCTGTATCTGGAGTCCTGTATCCAGTTATGGGCCCCCCACTACAGAAAGGATGTGGACACATTGGAGAGAGTCCAGTGGAGGGCAATGGAAATGGCTGAGGGGCTGGGAGACATGACATCTGAGGAAAGGCTGAGGGCACTGGACTTATTTAGCCTGCAGAAGAGAAGACTGAGGTGGGATTTAATAGCAGGCTTCAACTCCCTAAGTGGGGTTGCAAAGAGGATGGAGCTGGACTGATCCCAGTGGTGGTAGACGACAGGACAAGGGGCAATGGGCTCCAGTTGCAGCAAGGGAAGTTTAGATGGATGTGAGGAAAAACATTCTCACTAGAAGTGCAGTAAAGCACTGGAACGGATTAACTCAGAGAGGTGGTGGGATCTCCATCCTTGGAGGTATTTAAGACCCGGGTAGACAAAGGCTTGGCTGGGATGATGTTGCTGGGGCTGGGCCTGCTTTGAGCAGGAGGCTGGATTAGATGTGACCTCCTGAGGTCCCTTCCAACCCTCATTTTCTGGGATTGTACAACAAGGAAAAGGCACCAAATGCTGCCCAGAACATTGTCCCCCCCAGTACCAAGCATGGAGCCAGCATTAACCCAGAGACATCCACGGGTCTCTCATCCAGCCTGGTCTTGATTTGGGCATTTATAATAAAGACTTTCTTAAAAATGGGGAGCTTTGTGTGAGCACCAGGGCTTGTTCCAGGAAAGTTGCCCAATACAGGGTTGTGGGAGTGGCTGCTGGGAAAGCTGGGGAAGAAATGAATAGAGATGGGAAATGTTCAGAGATGGACTGGGTGGACACATTTCATCTTTAAGTCTTCAGGTACTGTTAAACTTTTCTGGCTGAGTCTAGTTGTTAGGAATTGCCAGCACTGGGTGTGTTATGATTTTCATTAGTGATGCACGTCTCTGGAATGGGGAATGAATTGGTGCAGCGGAGATTTAAAAGGCTGCAGGCTCAGAGCAAAGCCGGCTGTGTGGTGAATGTGTGCTGCCCAGGTGCTGGACCTTTTTTGCAAAGATTTCTTTCCTTCTTGCATATGAAATCCCGCTGGAAGTGGGAAGATGGAAATGTGGCTCCTTTCCAGAAACCTCCAGCATCCGCTACTACATCTGCGCGTGTGGAGCTTGTGAGATCAGACCCTGGCTCTGCAAGGCGCACTGCAGAAAAGGAAGTAGACCATGTATGTGTGGCTGAGGCCCAGCTTATGCAACTGGGCAATTTGTTCTAGGGATCCAGGCATGTAGGAGGGCTGACAGGCATGCTCAGGCAGAGGACTGTCCTTTCTCCCACCTCTGATACCTGATGCATAATTGACCTGTAGCACTCATGCTCTGCTGGGCACATCACGTGTCTTGTCCCTCCCACCTCTGCTTCCCAGGGAAGGTCCATTTTTGTTCTAATAAGGCAGCATGTTTCAGTGGCTAGTGAATGAGACGGGGTGCAGGACGCCTGGGTTCACTGCCAACGGCCCGATGGGCAATCTGAGGCTGGTTGCTTCTTTCTTCTCTCTCTGCCTTTATTTGCCTGCTTAGCCTGGAAGCCCTTTGGGACAGGGACTAGGCTAGACTCTTCCTAGGAGTATGTACAGTGCCCAGTACAACGGGGGCCCTGATCTCAGCTGTGACCTCTCGGTGTTGGTAATGGCAGTGGTAGAGCTAGGATGACTGGGGCCAGCTGAGAATCGGCACCAACAGATCCTCTTTCCCTAGTACAAGCTCATTGCCCGTCAAAGAATAGCTGTGAATTAATCCTTAAAAATGTGAGAGGGGTAGATTTCAGATTGTAGACTCTCCTTTGGCTTCTCTAGACCTCCCTCTCTCCCTATGAGCCCCTCCTAGTGTTACATCAAACAAAGAGGATTAACTCTCCTCAATGCAGGTAAGGAAAGTCTGCAGACAATCAGGCTTAGCATAAAGGCTAAGTTTATTATCCTTGGACTTGTGCAAAATAATGGCATGGTCTGCACTGAGCGAAGCATGCCTGGCTCTAGAAACCCCTGGACAACTTCTGAGCTCCTTGCGGGGCTGCTACTAGCTATAGGGAGCTGGAAGTCTGGGCCAGAGCTGGGCAACTAATACAAATAGCACTATGAATAACTTCTACTGCAGTATAATCAAGTCAACAAATCCATGCTCACTGCCTTCAGACATAATGAACAGGACATTAGTGGTTGATCAGCTCGTGAGGTCTTGTCCAGGGGTTCCCAGCTCTCACGTCTAGGCTCTTGCACAAGGTAGGCTTTCCCAGTCTGAGGATCAGCGTGGAGGGTTCTTCAGAGTGGGCAGCCCATTGAATCCAAGCTACTTCCCAATTTTATACCCGTCTTGTTTATATAACTTCATTTCTTATCTGAACACATGCATTTGCTTATGGTTGTTCACTTATTTTCTATAGCAACAGCCAGTTCTCTATGGCTTGCCCTGCCTTAGAGGGTCCCTCTGTGCTCAAGACCATACATTGTTTTCCTGTTCTTAACCAGTTTCTTAGGATTCGTAATTCATCCTGACATAGAAAAGCTGCATCTTACAGAAACAAGGCTCGTTGCTGGGAAAGTCAAGCTACTTATGCCAAGAGGCCTTTGTTTTAGGCTAACGCTAGGGAGGTGACCTGGTTATAGTGCTCTGTTACAGTGCTCTTGGAAGCGACCCCAATGTTTGTCACCACAATTCAACCTCAAAGTCTTCCTGGCCCGTGGTCCTGGCACTGACATGGTGGATGGAGGGGGACTATGGGCCAGTCAGCAAGGGCTCCTCTGGTCCTGTCTTGTGCTTGTGGGTCCTGAGAGGTGTGCAGGCAGCCCTGGCACTGAGCTGCCAATCCCTCTGTAGGACCTAGAATAGCTGTGAAGACCCTCCCAGGGCTGCAGCTCTCAGGGAATTTAGGAGAGGTTGCTAATTTCCGGCTCTTAACAATCCTGCCTTGCTGCTAGTCTGCAGACAGGACCTCTGGCTGCCAGCTGCTGCATGAAGAGAGAGCCAGGGGGAACGAGGACAGGGGCCCCGGAGAGGCCAGGTTTGCACCAGAGTGCAGGGGCCGATGTTCCTGCACTCAGGGCCTGCTGATTATGACTGATTTGACTGGGGTGAAAGCGGAGCTGCTTGTAAACCCGGCCTGTAAGGAGCTGGGACCAGCCCAGCCAGCCTGCAAGAAGCCTTGTGGTCAGTCCAGACTCACTGGCCTCCTTGGGGTGCAGTTGTCTGCAGGGGCGAGTCTGCACCATGCTGGAGACACGTCCAGGAGCCAAGCCCTGCAGCTGCGGCCTTGCTGTAGGTGGGGAGTAGGGCGTGGGATGCAGCTGGCAAGTGACAAATTGTCCCCCCTCAGCACTGGGGAGCTTGCCCTGTGTTTATCATGTCTGCTGCAAATGGAAGGGCTTGAAAAATTGCAGGGAGGGTGGAGAGACCGACCTGCTGGCCGTGTTGGGGTCCAGCCTGTTCAGCCTTGCCAGGAATGCTGCTGCGCCAGAAAATCTTCCACCACCCACCCAGGGCATGTCCAAAGGTGGAGAAGCCCAAGCACCACTTGCTGCAATGGTTATCAGACAGCGTGGCAGGGAATGGGGCTGCCTTGTGCAATAGGGCCGCACGCTTCAGGACAGGGGTGGGGCCCTTGCACCATCCTGGCGTTAAGGACTGGAGCCTGCCAATGCCTATGAGGCATGCAGGGGAGAATAGCGTTCCTCGCGCTCTCTAGGGCAGCAGCATGCCGTTCCCTGCTCAATGCAGGGTGCTGGGAGAGCCCAGCCATGGCTCTGACCCTGCCTGGAGGTGCTTGTGTTCCTACATGGGGAAGCATTGCAAAGAAATCCCAGGTCCTCCCAAGACTGTGAGCATTGGGTGCATACAAGCGCTGAGCTCTTGGGAAAACCAGGCCTCGACTTTGAGTGCAGGGGGTATGACTGCCTGGCCCCACTGGCCTGCAGAAAGGGTCTGAAAACAGAGGCCCCCAGGAGAGGAGGTCTCTGACTTATTTTGGTTCCAGTCACTAAGCTGAGGGAGAGACAAGACCTGCATGTCCCGATGCCTGTGCCAGTCTCCCTCTGTCCTGAACATCTCTGGCATCAGGAGCCCCACCCATGCCAAGTGGTCTGTCCAAGCATGTGGCATAGACCCTCTGCTGTCTGCCAGCGTGCAGTGCTGCTTTGATAGCACAGAGGCCAGCACCGAAACTCATCCCCAGCTGCTCAAGGGTGTTTGCCAAGAGCCCAGTATTATTTCCTCTGGGCTTCTTGCCTGCTGGGGGCCGACCTGTTGCTTTAGTAGACGATTGGTGATGTAGGTTAGGGCTCGCATTCCCACCCCTGTGCTCCACCACCAAACCAAGTAACCAGCTCTATGCCTACAGCTTCCTTCAGAGTTGGGGCAAGAGAGACTCCTGCATGGTGATTCTTGCCCTAGTGCTCCTGCTCAAGGAGGAAGACACCAATGCAAGACTGGGATGATCTAGCTGGGGATGGTTCTGCTTTGAGCAGGGGTTTGGACTAGATGTGATCTACTGAGGTCCCTTCCCACCTTCATTTTCTATGAAAGGCTCTGTTGATTTCTGCTGCAGGTGTGCCAAGGGATGTTTCCTTTCCAACAGATGATGATAAATACTGGCGGGATCCTGCTCAGACCAAAAAAGCAGGCTGCAGAGTGCAGGCTATTTCATGAGCAGTGGAGTGGCCAGGATGTGATCTCCAACTTCCCTGTCTCTAAAAGGAAGATGCTGGCCCTAGGAAGTTGGGAAACTTCCATTGCAGCACACACTGGGTCAACTGTCAGCACTGCTGCAAGGCGAGATCATGCATTGCTTCACTGTTATGGTGTTTACTTGATGCCATTGGGTGCCAGGGATGGGGTACTCACTCAGACCTCCATACCTTTGGGGTTCTGTCCTTGAGTCCCCTCAACGTGACGATCCCCGTTCTGAGAGAGAAGCCCGAAAATCCTTTATCCCCTTTGATACAAAGCCCATCCAAGTGAGCATCCTGGTCTCCTCTTTGCAAACCCTGGTTGGCGAACTGCATGGATATGCCTTTTAAATAATGAAAGCCAACCTTATAGCTCCACCCAGCCCCTCCAGGGTCAGGAACAGCTTGAATTGAGGGAGCAGTGTTATTACTGGCTTGAGCTGCTGGCAGCCAGCTCAGAGATGGGAATTTCATGCATTTCTGTAGCATTTTGGCACTTGGGTTTGGACACACCATGCTGGGTACTTCCCATGCTCACAGCGGGAGAGATGCTGTCCTGCTGGTAAAGCAAGGAGTCGAACCCCATTTAAAGGCAGGGGAAAGAAAGAATCGGCCCTTGGTAACTTGGCCAGTGTCCTACAGTGTGGGACAGCACCTGGATCTGCTGGCAGCCAGGCCGGGGTCTGACAGAGGCACTTTGTCTGACACAGAGGAAGGCCTGAGTCCGGGGTGCTGCATGTAGTGCCTCTCAGCTAGAACTCCTCTTCTGCCCTGCTAACTGCCACATTTGCCCATATTGCAAATGCCATTGTGCCCACGGAGGGCTGGGCCTCAGGACATCTCAGTCCTACTGAAATGAAACCAACCTGGTTCGATTCCAGGCCCCTTTGGGAGATGCCAGCTCTTGGCTTTCACTCACTTCTTGTCTACAGGAAAACACTAGATGAGGAATTCTCCTCTTGCAAAATGCTCAGCAAGCTCCCAGCAGGGCAGATGCTTTTGACACCCTGGGTTCCTACTTGACATCTCTGAGTTTCTCTTGTGAGCTCCCTGTAGGGGTTTGCACACTTCACAGTGCCACTATGGCATGGCAGGCATCCCTTGGCACCCATGAAAGGATTGTGCATAACCCTAGTTGAGAATCACAGGTTCACCTGATGATCCAGGCATGCATTTATCCAGGGGTACAAACCTGTCCACTCACACCTGATGTCCTTGTAACACCGAGCCCCGGGGGTCCCTGGAAGTGAGAGAGGAGCATGTACATCTCCCCAGACCTCCACACTTGGCTTCCCATGCCCAGGCCAGCATGATCCAGAGCCAAAACCCCTCTGAGCCCTGCCACATGTAAAGCAATTGCAACATTCGGCCTCAACTAGGAAGAAGCCACCGCAATGAAGTGGTTTTACAGCTTGGAGGTGCAGCACTGCACTGCTTGGGCCCCAGAGTGGGTGTGAGCAGCATGAAGAATCTGACCAAGAGATGAGGAAAAAAGTGCCAGGAAACTTTTTTTAAGGAAGTGCCGTGAGCCCTTGAGTAATACAGTGGTATGTGCGAGGTGGGGCTGCAGGCAGGTGGAAGGGGGAAATTGCATAATCGGGGAAAGGGCTGGACCTTGGGCACACAATAAAAGCCGAAGCCCTCCATGCAGTCTGCATCTCCGCTGGAGCCCTCCGACCAGACTGCATCTCAACTAGAGCACCTGTCTTTTGCCAGGATGACCAAGGTGAGTCCCAGCCGTCTGGGCTTCCTCCGTCTCTTGTGAATGCTTTGCCATGAGTGTGCTGCACCAGGCTGGGGTCTTCCCTGCCCATTTCTTCCCCAGGCTCTCTGTCAGCAGGGCTATGCAGGGAGGATATTTGTTGCTGAGCTGGTTTCAGACATAGCATTGCTGATTTTTGCACCCCCTGAGAAGGGAGAAGCCCTGCCGTAATGTGTGCTGCTGCTCTGACAGGCCTGATTGCAGCTTGAGTTCCTTGGCTGAGGTTTGAGAAGCCCATTGGTATTCAGGAACCACCGTTTTTAGCTGCCCGGCTTGCGACCCCTTCCAGGGACATCGTTTCCAAACAGTGGGTGCTCAGTGCTTTGCCAAGCTCAGGCTCTGTCCCAGCATCTGGAAACAGAGACTTGCAGTGCCCCACATCTGTGGGCCCCAGAGAGGAACTGATGCATCTCTCTGCAGAGAGCTGCTCTCCTCATTCAGAGCAAGAGACCCTTCATTAGTACAGACCGCAGAAGTTTGCCCTGGCCTGTGAGTCCTCTCTGCAGAGCAATACGGTGGTTGCTACTCAGCTAATCTGGCTCAATTGTTTCCTTGTTATTTGCCAGAAATGCCCTGATGCTCAGACCGAGCTGGAAAAGTCCATTGAGAAGATCATTGATGTTTTCCATTCATACTCAGTGCGCGTGGGGCACTTTGACACCCTGACCAAGATGGAGCTGAAACTACTGATTCAAAAGCAGCTTCCAAACTACATGAACGTGCGTGAAATCCATTTGGGGTCAGCTGTTTGCTGCCTGGTGGGGAGGAGATCTTCAGCAATATCAATATGTGTAGCCCCCTCCCAAGAAAACAGAGCTATTCTGACCCCTTCACTTTGCCCCTGCACTTGCGTCCTCTCCTCGCCCCAAATCCCTCAGAATTGCTTCTCAAGCTGGTTGCAGAGAACTCCTATGAGATCCAGGGGATGTGCAATCCAAATAGGAACCCCCAGGGCAGGATACAGGGGGCATGGGGGAGATTGCTTTTCCTTTTTTTTTTAAAGCACCCATCTCACCAGATGGAAAGTGATTTTTTGTGCAGGGATCTGATCGAGGTCCTAATCCAGGACCCAGCTCTGGAGGAGATGATGCCCAGAAAGGTCTAGTGCAGAAAGAAAGCACAGCAGCAAATGCTGGGTGTGAGCCAGTGCTAGAACAGCATCTTAATTGTGTCCAGGGCTGCATTTCCTTCTCCTGCATCCCTATCTAGTGAGCTCCAGACTCCTCCCTTGCACCCTGACCTATAGCCTTATGTTCTCATCTGCAGTGAGGGGTGAAGCCAGGAGACACGTGGCCAGAAGTGCCTAGTGTCTAAGGATGCTCCATGTGCCTGAAGAAGGGTGTTTGTACCTGAATACTTGCAAAGAACAATTTTCAACTATTTAGTTGGTCTAATAAAAGCTATCTCATTTAATAAAAGATAGTCTTAGTTGGTCTAATAAAAGATATCACTTGTCTGCCTAGGGTCTAAGGAAGATTTTAACCCATAGATCTCCAAGGGGTTGGGTCCTATCTGGCTGTCTACAGTGGCCTGTCCCCTTCCCTGGGCTGTCCGAGGTTGGGGTGGGAAGGCTGTCAGTCTGACCCCATCCTCATTGCTTCTTGGAGTGCAAGGAGCCCACTCACTTGTCCTGCTGCCCCTTCCCCTCTCCTCCTCCTGCAGAACCAGCTCAAGCCCGGCCAGATTGATGCACTGTTCAAGGATCTGGACAAGAACAAGGATCAGCAGCTGAGCTTCGGGGAGTTCATGATGCTGATCACCAAGGTGACCATCGCGACCCATGAGCACCTGCACCACTGTGGAGAAGGAGAGGGCCAGCATCAGCATCAGGATGAGCATCATCATCACTAAAGCAGAGGGGATCATGACCCGGGGCCCGAACCCATGGGACATCCCCCTTTGCGGGCTCTGATGTTCAATTTGGCCTCTAAATAATAAAGATTTGCTTCAAATACCCCATGCGTTCCAGTCTCCATTTGTGCTTGCCCAGACACTGGGCCAGCCGGCCCCCTGAAACATCATGCAGAACAGGAGCCTGGGACTCATGGAGCTTGGCCTGACAGCCCTGAGGAGCATGAAGGGCCCCAAGCATAAGCCAATTCCAGCAGCTGCAGCCATCTCAGGGAAATTTCTTTGACCTGCGAGGCCTGGCAGAAGCCTGGGGCCCTCTCTGTCTGCCTCTGATGCCCCTTGCTGCCTCTCCTTGTTGCCACATCAGTAAGATGCTGCAAGTCCCTTGCCCCTCTGCCTCTTCTTCTCCCCAGCCATGGTCCATGCCGCCCCAGGGGGCTACAAGGCCACGGTCCATGGTCCACACCCGGTGTGTGGCATTGCCTGAGCCCCTCTCCCATTTAGGTGTCATGACGAGGGGGCGCGAGGGTCCCTGGAGGTGTTGAGGATGGTGAATGGGCTGGTGATGCAAAAAGCTCTGTGCAGGGCTGCAGGTCCATCTGGCTCGGGGGCCATGCACACAGAGGTCCCGGCAGGGTTAGCACTCACTATCGATGGGGTCTGTGTGGCTCACGGCATGGCTGTTTCAGTTCACATCCAGGCGAGGAGGCAGAGGAGCAAGGACTGGGGCAAGGGGCAAGAGTGAACATCCAGGCAGGGAGAAAATACCCTGAAGTCCTGGAGCCTTTGACACAGCCCAGCCACGGGGGAAGTCAAAGCAGGTTCAGCAGCTCCTGCTGCGGTCCAAGGGTCCGATCCTGAAGTCAGGATCCAGGACTGCGATGGGGCAGGGGCTGAACACAGGCTGGAGACAGGGCCCATGTCAGTGAGGCAGCATCAGGAGCCCACAGGAGGGTGCACAGATGACTGCAGCCTCCTGCCCCTGCCTGGTTCCTCCGGATCTTTCTCTCCCGCCATGGGGACAGGAAGGGAGATGGCTCTGAATCAAGGTGAAGGTCTCACAGGGCTCCCAGCTCCGCCCGGGCCTCCCTGGGGCAGGACCTCTCTTTGCAAGGACATTTCCCTCCTCACCCTGTGCCTTCAGGCTGGGATCTCCCTGGAGCTGGGCCTGTCTCCTCTGCTCGTGCTTCACCCTGCACGGCGGGGCTGTAGCTGCCAGTGCAGACAAACTAGCCCACTGCAACAAGTTTGAGGATGGGGTTTAGTCTGCCTCCTATCTGGGGGTCCACACATATCCCACTGCCAAAGAAAAGGAAACAAGCCCCACAGAAGTAAGCTCCAGGGTTTAGCTTTCACTTCTTATTCAGCAGGGATGGATCCACTAGCACCCCTTTCATTCTTGCTCCACCCAAAGTTCAGTCAGGCAGCGCTGAGTGTAATCGTTTTAAGTCCTGCAGTGAACAACCACAACTAGAGGAAGAGAACAGACCTTTAATGATACCACAGTACATGTTCCTGCATCTCCCCCCCCATCATGTTCAAATTCCTCATGTTATAAGACATCCTCTCGTAAGGGACTGTCTCCAAAGTCTAACCCTTATCACTACATCTTCCCCTTCTCTATAAATAACCATCACTATATAAGAACAAAAAAACTCCACAACAACAACGCAACAGCAATGCAAAACAAAACAACCCCAACAACAGAAAATCCATAACCTGCAGGGGAGAGGTTACCAGTAGGGCTGTGCAAGATTTCCCTTCCAGTCCCTGTGCTCTGGGGGAGGGATGGAAAAACCACATAAAAGGCAGCATTGTTTAAACTGGTTTGCTTTCTGTCTCGGGGTCTGATAGTTACTGAGCTGTGTCTTCTAGCAGCACAGGAGCGTTAGACAATGAAGGCTACTACTGGCATTGATTCAAATGATTTCCTACTTCCTAGCCTAGCCTAGCAAGAGGGATTCCAGAATACCTTTTTATTTCTTCTAGACCCTTTTGTTTTATTATTATATTCATTGATTTATTCTTTTCAATTTTATAATTATATTGTATAGGTTATTACACTATAGAATTTAATTTATATAGGAAGGGAGATGCATTTATATTTTATTTCTATACATTTATACCTTGCAACATAGAAGACTACACACCTCAGAGGATTTATATAGGAATGCGGATACATTTATGTATTTGTATAAAAGCAAGACACTATAAAACACACCATGAAGAATGGTGGAAGGGCAGCTGGCGAGCCTTCAGGGAGGGGCAGAAGAGAAGGTGGAGGGAGAGGGGTAAGTTCCTCCCCCAAACCGAGACGCAGACTCTTTCCTACTATTAGCAGGGATGAGGCTTCCAGAAGCAGCAAGGAGAGGGGAGCAGGCCAGTGCCACTGCCTGTGCCTGAGACTGCATCCCCTCCAAGAGCACCAGTCTTAACCTACCCCCCCGCAAAGACAACAAGCAGCAGCACCAGCACCAGCATGACAGTCTCCTGCCGAGCCTTCCAGTGCCAGAGGAAGAGTTGGCACTGGATCTGGATCTCAGTGCCTTAGCAAGGGAAATTCTGGGGAAGGAAAGGGAGTTTGTGCTCCAAACCTCTCAAGTTTCCCCTAGAGACAGGTCTCCTTCCCCTGAATGCTTCAGAGGAGGCTTAGGTAAAGGTTGTGGAGGCAAGTGGCTCCGCTGAGTCCACCCCTCCTGTTGCTGTGCCTCTGCCTGCTGAGGAGGGGAGAATTGCAGCATCCACACAGGTACCCACACCTCAGAAGCGAGTGGGTAGTGTGGTCTGGGATCATTCTGAGCTGGCAGATTATCCCACATACTCTATCTGCCTGCAGTGCCGCGCCAAAATCAGCTGGGGCAAAGGAATAAAACACATCAGCACCACAGGGATGCTGATTCATCTCTGCAGGCACCAACGCCTTGCCCTTGCTCCTCCTCAGCCTGACACCAGCGGGAGCATGCCCAAAGGGAAGTCCCCCTCTCACTCCAAAGCCCCCGTCCCCCCAAAGCAGAGGCAGGCCACCCTGGAATAGTGGGGGAAAGGTGGACAGAAAGGGGGACGCGTCACAAGGGTGAGCGAAATCACTCAGAGCACTGCGGAGATGCTTTCTGTCAATGGCCAGCCCTTCTCCCTAGTTGAGCAGCTGGGGTTCAGGCAGCTCATGGTGCTTGTGGCCCCTTCCTACCAAGTGCCTACACACACCACCTTCAGCAGGATGGTGGTGCCCTCCCTGTATGAGGCATGCAGGGAGTACTTGAGGAGGGAGCTGTGCAAGGCATGTCCGCAGGTGGCCTTACACTCACCTTGGACATCAGGAGCAGCCGGGGTGGAGATCATGCTTACTTCTCCCTCACAGGGCACTGGTACGACCAGTCAGCCCACTGATGGGCTCTTCTTCAAGCTGAGGTTATGGATGAGTCCCACACAGCAACCGAGATCATGGGGGCCATGATCTGCTCAGTGCAGGGGTGGTTCGCTGGGCAGGGTGAGCTCACCCGTAGGTTCATGGTCACTGACAATGGAGTCAAGGAGGTTCGTGATGTCAACTTTGTTGGCATCTGTTGTGTGGCACACAAGTTTCACCTCATTGTCAGGGATGCCTTGGAGGGGGACAGGGTGCTGGTGACGGCGCCAGCACCACCAGCAAGTTCATTTCCAAATGCAGGAAGGTGGCAGGCTACTTCCACTGGAGCATCAAGTGGGGCAA